GCATTATATCTACAGAAACATTGTTGGCTGTGTTGAAATACTGAAGTGAATTCAGTGGAAATGCGTTTGACACCATATATATGAGGTAGTGTACGATCTGTTTGTGCATCTCCACAGTTCTTAGTACAACTTCTGGATCATCTTCACAGAATACAGTTTGAAAACAATCTTTCTCAAGGAGACAGAAACGACAACTCTATCAGCGATGTTGTGGCTGTCTCATCTACATTAGCTGTCACCATCTCTCCTGCGCTGCTCAAATTAACATCAGTGTCAACCTCGTGTTCAATATACTCCGTGTGTTTGGTGTTTGAATGGTTCCTAAAAGCAGAAAACGTACCAAACACACATCCACATCCAGTCTGCGGCACATTTAAGCCTGAGATTTTTTCTAGTAAGTAACCAGGAACTAATGGGTAATGGCGCTAGACAAGCATATGGGTGGGGGTTGTGGGGGGTGGAACTAGTGTGAAGAAAGGGCTGGAGCCTGACAAACTCAAAGACCTGACTCGGGGTGGATGATAGAAAGAAAGAGCTCACGACGTGGATGAAGGCAAACCTCGCCCCCAATTCGCCCCAGAGAGACACGAACTTCCGCTTTGCGTTGCAACGAGTGTGCAAGATGTTACACTGTTTTGGATCAAGTGGTGACATGTTGGTGAAGCATGCTGTTGTAGGATGTGCCAAACACAAAATGAGCCTTAAACAGTTCATCAAAGGCACCAAGAGAAGAGGTTGATCTGCGAGGTACGGCGTTCTTGTCAAGAGTGATGAAGAACTGGTGGATTGCATTCTTCTTAACTAACAGCCAGGAGATCGGGTTGAGCTCTGGAGGTGATGGCATCGAGATGCTCTTGAATGTTTGTTCCAGTCTGCGAAGACAAACACATGAAGATATGATTACAATTGGACAGTTGTAATACATAAAACCAAAACAGAAAAACTCAATAATAACACTTTAAATTAGACATATTGACCACCAACTAGTTGCTTATTAGAATACACGTTAGCAGCATATTGGCTGTCAGTACTCATTATAAAGCACTTTATTAATGCCTTATTGTGCACGACCATATTCTACAACTATTAGGCAATTATATAACATTTGTCCCTCAATAACCTCCAAAAATACAAACCCTCTTGAAGACCACAAGATGCTTCTCTGCTTGGGATGCCGAAACCTTTCCTGGTCTCTCCCGACCCTGAGCAGAGGGTGGAATCAGGTGGAGCAGCAATAAAACCGACCAAAGCTCACCGTCCCAACCTGTAACAACAACCGTTCAATCTCAACACACTTCAGTTATGCGGGCTGTCAACAACATTCAGTGGCTCTGCAATGGCAGCAGCATTTAAAATATATATTTTTAAATAATGGAAAGATAGCAGTTTTATATCATCACAAGAAGTTATCCAACTCAAACCACAGGACAAAGACTTTTGTTCAATATACTGCGTCCATAATGTCCTCTTACATTTATCACAGATCCAGCTTTAAGTATTATGCTGCTATGTAAATGTTTAGACATGATAATTATATATTCCAAGTATATGAGAGCCACAGAAGAAGAACAAACAATCAGCTGACCAAAGTCAACATCAGCTTCAGTGCCATCCTCAGGAGGATCAGCTGCCAGCAACCCTTCTTCAAGCTCACTTGTGGATAGAAGCTTTCTGCATTGTTGGATGATCTTTTTCTTGAACATGAGCGGCCACCTCTCCAAACATCACCCTGAGATCCTGTTCAACCTGGGGTGGGGGGGTGCTGGGTGACAATTTCAATGATCTGACAGGCAACCAAAGTTACCGGCTGATAGTTAATGGAGTATTACTACACCGCCTGTCTGCCGTCTTACAAAAACTATTCAACTGTCAGAATATTGTCACAATAATGATTGATAATTACCGAGCCTTTGACGTCTTTAAAACGTGGAAAGTCAGACAGTATGTTGCTCGACTGCTGGGGGTCAAGGGCCGTGTTGCGGCGATACACAAACGTCAGTTTCGTTTTCTTCTTGACGGCGTCCTCGTCAGCTGAACGTCTCATCAGTGAGATTGCTTCGTTGCACTCATCTTCAGTCAGCGCTGTCTCGGGAACGAACTCTCGTCTGACAGTCGGTCCTCCAGACACGTCTTCACCACATGATCCTTTGGCTGATTCTACATAACACGGGAAAATACAGTATTATAAATACTGATATCAAAAACTGCTCAACTTTTAAAAGAGGTACTCTACCCAAAAGTAGAAACTTACTTACTGACTGTACTGTGATGAAACATATCAGTGTTTTTTCTTCACTGTGGATGATTATTACTGTTATTTTGTGCATTGAAGTGTCAACTGTTGTGAATCACCCTAAAATGTGCCATGCCAGCCTGCAGACAAAGTCAGAGGAGCTGAAGGGTGTAGTTAGAAAATATTGTATTATTTTACTGAGAAACATGATGTGCAACAAATCAATAACTCATCTTGCGACTGTTTTGTTCCACACATTTTTCCAGTATTACCTCCAAACGACCAGCGCTTGTCTTTAGCGGTGCCTCTCTGAAGAGTTTTCATCCTCCAGGCCAAGTACCCAGTTCCACTCTCACCATCATAATAGTGCTCCTCGGAGGACGAAAGGATAACAAAACACAGACATTCATTAACAACATTTAAAAGTGACAACAACCGATAAGAGTCAACATTTTTCAACACAGCATTTAACATGACTACAGCCGTTACTGTGTCTTAGAGAATGGGTCACTGAGGTTGGGGAATAAGGTCACTATTCCTCTGGCGTACATTTCTTTCACTTGTCTGGGTGGGGATGTACTGCAAGGAGAGAGGAGTCTGCAGTTCTATTCACTGGATTTCATTTCAAATTCATCTCTAAGCTCGATTCAGAACACAAGGACTGTTAACAAACCACCCGTTCTTTTCTGTCACGTCAGCTGCCAGTATGTTCACCGTTGTTCGTCTGGTTTCATCCACCGAGGATTTGGTTCGGTTGTATTCATTTATTACACGTTCCCCACCAGGTTTGTTGGTAAGAACGGACTCCACCGACTTAAAACACAACACAAAACAATTCAGCACATTAGGAGAATATCAGAGTTCACTTAAATGCTGGAAATAAATTCACATCATGGCTGAGGATGTCCCGATTCGATCTCAAAGATATATAATAATAGAATAAAAAACAAGCATATACATTTAATGGATTTGAATCACTCTGATGTACTTGAAGTGCACTTTATTCTAATAACATTTCAGGGGCTTCGAGACATAATCATGAGCTCAACAATGTCTTCAAACCACATAAACGTCAGAAGAACTTATTGATCAGAACTTACTTGCTCAGCTTCTGTGGCGTTTTCTGGAGGGACTATCAGAAATGATGTCTGTGTCCTCAGAGTCCAAGGAATTGAGGGATGATGGTTGGGATTGCTCAGGAGAGGTTACCGTGGAGACAGAGTCTAATCATGAACGGAGAAATGGAAATAAGAATGATTATTTAGAGTTTCCTGATAACCCTAACCTGTCACTTCTAATAAACATCAGAACGTAAGAGACATTTAACAGAAACAAACCTGAGTCATATCTGATGGTTAACACCCCAGTGGAGGGATCCGTTACTACATCCGGAAAAACATCTTCATCCAACTCCTCCCTGAACTGTGGACAACTTTCACACCTTCTGTTACAGCTGGGACAGCAAACTTTACAAATGCTAGGAAACAAACGTTTGTGTAAACAGGAAAATCATTGCTTATCTAATGATAACGTTTCACCACTCACTTAATATTCACTGAATGTGGATTAGCTTTTACAGTAGGGCTCAAACAAACACTTAATGTGAATTAAAATGATTCTTTATGTGTTTGTACCAACTATACTTTAAGCAATGCATCCAAAGTTACGGGTGTGGTTAGAAAGGGCAACACAAAACACACAGAGCTTAAAACTTTCCATCATTTTATAATAATATTCCAGTATATCAGTTTAAACAGTTACATTCGGTTACATTTAGCACTTCAAACTCCTTGTGCAAATCTTAATTCCACAATGTCAATTTCTTACGTGCAATCAGAGATTCTTTCAGATTTGGCTCCGTTATTCTAACAAATGTTTGGTCATCACCAAGTGTTGCTTTGAGCAGCAGGAGAATAAAAACTAATGTTTCAAGCCACCAAACTGCTGAGAAATAATCAGCTCTTTTGCAGAAATGACCAGTAAGATAGAATTTAACTTAATCACGTCATCTTCCTGAAGGTGCCCAACCGTCATAGGGAGTTACTTTATATTACTGTAGTAACGTTACTTCATGCTGCCGTTACAACACCGAGACAACACTGTGAACGATTTTCAAAATAAAACACCCCTGAGCTAGCCTGGAATAAACCAATTTTATCAACTCCTGGAAGCACAGCAGACACAAGTGGCTTCTTTCTACAGGTTTATTTGGAAGCTTTGTCTCTCTCTCTCTCTCCAAATCTACGGGGAGCCGTTTGTAAAGCAGCTCACGCTGAAAATAACAGCAACATTTGTTCACATTTAGCTCAAAACAATGTTTAAAAAACTGGTATGAAATTTTTGAGGTCACTTTTTTGCACTTTACAACAATATCTGTCAACTTACAAGTTAAATTCCACAGTGTTAAAATATGCAGTGTAACGTACATGAAGTCTTTCAGAGTTATTCCAACAACAGCTTGGAGTAAGATACCGCGCATTTTGGTGAAAATATACGTCGTTAAAATACGTTTGTGTCCTTTCAACAAAAGCAGCATTTCAGAATGACTTTATATCACTGTTAAACTTGTGAACTTCAGCTCGTTTTATGTCTTCAAATGCCGAATTTCAGAAAGGCTAATGTGTAGTGAGAGCAGCATTAAGGTAGCTAACGTCAGCTGATTAAATTAAACAGCAAACACTCAAAACTATCAAGAGTTATGTTAATCTTGTTAATACAGTGCAGATGTGTGATTGTGTGTTTCTTTGTGACGTTCAAACGTTATAAAAGTTACTGCAGGTGTACTGACAGACGTTGTGGTTTTTTAATATGTTGGAGATTAAATCTCGTGTATGTGCTTTTGTAGATCTGCTTCTCCGTGTGTAATTATGCTACGTAGTTAATTAGTTTCGCTTTTTTCTGTTTTTACTACGGCATTTCACACTTCTGTTACGCAAGCTGGGACAGCAAACTTAACCAAATGCTAGGAACAAACGTTTTTGTGTAGAACAAGGGAAATCAATTGCTTATCTAGATGATAAGCGTTCACCACTCCCTTAAATATTCACTTGAATGGGATTATAGCTTTTACGTGAGGCTTTCAAACAAAACAGCTTAATCGTAATGTAAAATGGATTCTTATGTGTTGTACCCAACGTCAACTTTTAAGCACCGAGCATGCCAACGTTACGGGTGTGGTTAGAAGAGCGGCAACACACGCAAACACACAGAGCCTTAAAACTTTCCATCATTTTATAATAATATTCCCAGTATATCAACGTTTGAAACAGTCTACATTCGGTTACATTTTAGCACTTCAACTCCTTGTGCAATCTTCAACTCCCACAATCGTCCAATTTCTACGTGGCAATCAGGAGTTACTTTCAGTTTGGCTCCGTTATTCTAACAAATGTTTGGGTTTCATCACCAAGGTGTGGTTGCTTTGGATGCAGGCAGGGAATTAAAAACCTAATGTTCAAGCCACCAACACCTGCTGAGAACATAATCAAGCTCTTCTTGCAGAAATGACCAGTAAGCATTACGGGAATTGGAACTTAAGTCACGTCATTTCCTGAAGGTGCCAACCGTCATAGGGAGTTACTTTATATTACTGTAGTAACGTTACTTCATGCTGCCGTTTTACAACACCGGAGACAACACTGTGAACGATTTTCAAAATAAAAACACCCCT